TATGATAGGTTTGTTCACTCCCCCTGCCGTTTTATTGACCAGACACAAACACATGTCCAGCTGTAACCTTTGAGGTGTGCATAGTGCTGGTCCTCCAGAAATGAATGGGACCTGTTACTATGGGAGATGGGAGAAAATACATTGGATAGGGAAGTTAACAGTCTCTCCCACTTTGTCCTGTGCTTTGAGAGACTGGACTTTCCTTACAAAGGCACATCTAGTTCTCAAGCAATCACACAAACACTATTTCTGTTTTTGGTGAGCACAGAGGGATAAAGAAGATAGAGTTCAGCAAGAGACTGAATTTTCCATTTAGCTTGGGGTAAGTTGAATATTTTGTGACAGGGCAGATAAATTAGGTTCTAGATGGGCTGTCTCCCGGATCCCCAGAGACTATGGCTGTCGCCTGCTTCATTATTTTTATTACACAAGCAAAAGTTTTACTCATAGCAGATTTTATTCATGACAGTTTTCCCCTGTGTAGCTGGAATGTGATCTCAGCATCCTTCTCAACATAACGTTCTTGGCGTCTGGTTCAAAAAGACTTGGCATTAGTAATTAAATGTACTATCTATCCCTAGTTGCTTGGGGTTTCTGACAGAATCTCTGGACATAATTCTTTACTTCACAGGAATAAATCTCTCATAGAAATTTTAGGTGTTGGCACAGGCAATAAAGTTATACGGCAGCAGTCCAGTGTTCTTCAGATTTTATCATGAAGTGATTGCAATCATTCACATTACCGGCATGTTCTAAACTTGCTCCTTTAATTACCTTAGGTAGACTATGTGTTTCTGAGGGCAAAAACTATACCGTATGCACTCCTCATGCCCCAAGCTGTCTGGCTCAGTCTACTTAAAAAAAAAAAAATTACCAATAAATGAAATTTACATTTGCCAAGGTCAAGTGGCTCTCAGAAACTTTCCTGATAACTGTACTACTGAATACTAAAAGAAAGGCCTGAAGTTTACAGAGGTCTCTGGAAAGGGTGACAGGAAGATCAAGGTGGTACAACAAAGGGCTTTAGTGATTCCACAACTGCCTTACAGATGTTCCAGAAAGACACAGGAAATTGGCTTCACCAGGACCTAAGGGCAGGTTTACTCTGAGCATGTTCTTTTTTCTGAAATTCTGTTTTCAGGTCCCAGGTTAAGTTGTTTGAGAGCTTTCTGTGTTCTAGGAGGTGAATGAAGGGGTTGTATAAATGATTTTCATGGATAGGCGTGTGGCTGGAATAAAACTGTAATTGTGCTCTACTCACAGTGCTCTATTCTCACTGATTTGTTTTTATATCTTATGAATTATTTAAGTTAATACTGATGTTGCTGATATGTTTTAAATTGTAGTACCAATGGAATCTTTTATTGGAAAAAAACTGCCATTGCTAAAAAATTTGAAAAGCACTGAGCTAGTTCACCTAAGTTCCATATATACTTTTTTTTTAAAAAGATTTATTTATTTGTGCATACAGAACTCTGGGGTACAGGTCAGAGGCTCAGGGGCGGCAAGAGGCTTCACCAGAGACAGAGTAGGGAGCAGAACAGGCAGATGGA